CCGCCCACCATGAAAGCTGGAACGCCCACCAGTGGGCAGTAGGGACCAGGTTGACTACCACTGGTCTAAATCTTCCTGGTGATAACCATGTAAGGAGCTGCTGCAGGAAGGAAGAATGGAAGATCTTTTCCCAGTGTCTCCAGCCTGATCTTTAGTCAGCTCTCATCTCCTTTACCCCCTTTGGTGCCTGCTATACATGTTAGAAAATTATTGGGGGTGTCATTTTTATGATTTAGGTATGTGATCACATGCTTGCCAGACATAGGGCAGTGATGCTCCTTTTGCCCGTTCAATGAAAATGCAGCATGTTTTAATGTTATATCTAGCCCAGCCTAAAAGAAAGAAGCCTCCTATTCAAAAATGCAGATAAAGAAACTAGAGGGAGGGGAACAGCCAAACCAGGTAGGAAAGAACGGAGCAGTGGGATGAGGATACCCAGGAGCTGCATCTTTTCTCAGATGCATCACATTTAGGAAGACAAGTAGCATTTTCAGATGAACATTTGGAACTTTACATCTGTGTCTCTTGTGTGAATTATAACCAGTTAATTAATGAGAAGAGAGGTTCCAAGGAGGGAAAGTTATGAATTATGGATTGAGATTCTATCTCTTCCCCCTGATTCCCACGTGCTCCACGAGATCCAAGGCTATCTGTTCTATTTCCATGCTTGGCCCTTTTTGTAGCTTGTGTCCTTTTAATTACACTGTTTGCAAAAGCCTTTCTCTCCACAGGTCTGAGAGTAGGTGCGTTTGTGTAGCTGTCAGCCATGGGAATGCTTCATGTAGCCTACAGAGCCATCTGTGGTCTACCCCAGCGTATCTTAGAATCACTGTTAGCCATGAAGGAGCCTTGCTCTGCCAGGCTAGCAACCACTCCTCAGGTGTGCTCCCTCATTAAAAGGAAGGAGTGTGGTTTGCTTTAATCTACTGGTTGGTTTGCATGCTTATGTATTTGTCTGTGCAAGATTTGCTTTGCGCTTGCTGTTCTTTTGCCACATTTCAAGTTCCAGGTGGAGCCAGTGACTGAAAGCTGTTGTCACATTGTCCACAGCAGCTAGAGTTGATTAGTTTGGGTTTAGACTGGAAGACACGGTACATTTCCTTTCTTTTATTTAGCAGGTTATTTGTTCTATTGATAGATTGATCTGCCTGTGGTTTTGACCTATAGGCTATTTCTAATAAGTTGTTATTGACTCCCCTAATATCCTAATCCTTGAGGCAATTCAACAGACTGTGTAATATGACAGAGGCAAAAGGTGGTGAAAGGTAAAATATATTTTTAGGCTGCTAGAGATCCAGGAAAAGAGGCTGAGTTTTAAGCAACAAAAACTTTGCTGATGGGGTGGTGGTTTGGAATGGCTGAAGGCCAGAGGGAGGCCAGAACTGGCTATTGCCTTTCTCTTATCTTCCTCCAGCTTCAGAGGCAATGAGGCTGTGAATACCTGCCACAGAACCACAATGGTGGGGGGTCTCACCTTCAGCCCCTCTTTATGGACTTTTGCAAATGCCTAGAACTGCGGCTGCTGAAGAAATGGAATTCTGCTGAGCTTTTGATCTGGTCCACGGGGCTCGTTTTAAACCTTTTTCTTCTCCCCAGAGTATGCTAGCTTAGAAATTCTGCTTACTTCTGATAAATGTGGTGGCGAATGGCTGTTTCTAAAAAAAACACACAATCTTGATTTTTATCCTGTTCTAAAAGCACAGCTAGTTTTTCTGCCATACCTTGTTCTGAGCAATGCTTTTAAATGATAGGGAGAGGAGATTTTGAATTCAGAATAAGAAAGTGTTCTGCTCACAGCCCAAAGAGGAAATCAGATTCACCAATAAATATGGGTATGCCTTTCTGCCACAAAACCATGGGAGTGGATCTAGTCAACAGCACTATATGGTATGAGCATGTTCACTCTCCTTTCTGTTCTTCTCCCTCCCTCCCTCTCCAGTGTGTGTGCAAATGTGTGACACAGAGACCAAATTTATGACCTGATAAATAGGCTGCCCGTTGACAGTACATAGTTCTGGTTTGAGGGGTTTTTAACTGGAAAATTCAATTCAGACATACAGAGAATAGTCTTTTAGATAAGCCGTTGCATGGCATCTCAGACATAAAAAAGATTTTTTATTACTGTCCTGCAGTTCTGGAATGACCTTCCTGACTTTTCCGTTGATTCAATAGGCATTAATTAGACCCATGGAGATTTGTCTCCTCTGGTCACCTAAGCTAGGTATTAACTGCATTATCAATTGGAGATCCTCTGAATAGGAACCATACCATGTTTATGTTCCATATATCACTGGACTTTTGGTTAGAATTGTGTTTATGAACAGGTAATATATTCAAAGTATAGAATTGGGTGGCTTTGGGACATTTCTATTACATTGACGTTATTCAGTTATTAGAGACATTACACATTCTATTATTAGAAATGTACATTTCAATTATTAGAAATGTAGAAAGCTGGATAGTGATAATAGTAAGATGATTTACCCCAGACAATAGAATTTATACATTCTCCTTTGGATACTTAAGTATGTGTTGTTTTTAATTGTACGTGATCTGAATGCATGTAGCTTGCAGCTTTTCCCAATCTGATACCATGCAGATGTGTTGAATTACATTTGGAGATTCACCATGTTCAGGAAAGGCTATACTATTTATTTAAATAGTACTAACTACTAATAATACTAACTCTGCTTTAGAGGTGAAGGTGAGCTGATTGTGCATAATAACACCTCTTCTATTCCTCCTTTGGCACTCGGAGAAGAAAGATCAGCTTGCATCTGTTATCTGCGACATCTGAATATCAGTAATTTACATTTGTCCTCCAAGTCTCCTTAAGTAATATCAGAGGTGCATAAATTAAAGCGCCAGGCCTTGTGTGAGTCATAAAAGCTTTGGATGCAGGTCCTCCCCCACATAGTGACTTCCGTTTTAAATATTCATTCTTCAGTAATCAGTGCATAGAAGGGAACATGGGTGAGCATGGAGATTAAAAATGTTTATTTTCATTCTACATAGATAGGTATGTGGGGGTCTTACCTCCCCATAGACAAAGGATAATTAAATGTGGCAAATCTATCAGAAGAACCTAAACCTCATGCTGAAAGACTTTAGAATTTTGGTTACTTTAAAACAGTGCTTCTCAACCTTGGCAACTTTAAGTGTAGATTTCAACTCCCAGAATTCCACAGTCATCATGCTTGGCTGGGGAATTTTGGGAGTCGAAGTCTATACATCTTAAGAGTTGCCAAGGCTAAGGAGCGCTGCTTTAAAGAGCGTCCTATTTGGATGCTTAAGTGTGAAACTATCCCATTTGGCACAGGATGGACACTTTCTGCTGAGTGAGAAAAAAATGGCTAAAGCTCTGCAAGTTGGAACTCTGAAGAGAATACTCAGATCTGTATAAGCTGAATAAACTTTGCAATCTCTTCCTCAAAATCCCCCACCCCACCCCCCTCAACCACAGCTACACTCTTGATATGAACCATGTGTTTCAAAGATTGAAAACAATACAGATCACGTCTGTATCAACAAGAAGAATGTTGCTTTATACTACTTCAATTACTGCAAAAGAGAAGCAGTTCCAAAACTGGCAGAGCACTTTTTAAAGGCAGAAATAAACTAGGTGTCACCTGGCAGATGGCCAAAGCAATGACTGGTTAACATCATTGGTGTGTGTTTGCGTTATCCTAATCTGACCTGTTTTACAGCATTTGGGGAGCTTAGCAGTACCTTGTGCTTGGAGCAGCCTGTGCTATTCTGGCCTCCGTGTTATCTCAATGAGTTGCCATGTACTGACAAAGGCTCTGGTCCAAAATGTAGCATGTGGAGAACCAGAGCTTTGAAGAATGAATGCTGTCTGGTTTGTGCAGCAGAAGCACAGCAGGAAATGAGGACCAGGGAAGTCATTGATCCAACTGGCCTGACGGGAATGTCATTCACATCGATCCCTAAAGAGTTCTACATGGGCAGGAACAGCTGTGGGATGGCTTTAGTTTGAATAACTCAAACCCTCCATCATGGAGAGGACTTTTGGGGAGGTGGGAAAGGGGAAAATAGTTCTAAGGAAATTTATCTTGTTTCTTCTTCTTCTTCTTCTTCTTCTTCTTCTTCTTCTTCTTCTTCTTCTTCTTCTTCTTCTTCTTCTTCTTCTTCTTCTTCTTCTTCTTCTCCTCCTCCTCCTCCTCCTCTTCCTCCTCCTCCTCCTCCTCCTCCCCCTCCTCCTCCTCCTTCTCCTTCTCTTTCTCCTTCCCCTTCTTCTTCCCTTTCTTCTCCTTTTCCTTCTCCTCTTGTTTCTGCTTCTTCTGCTTCTTCTGCTTCTGCTTTTACTGCTTCTGCTTCTTCTGTGGCTTCTTGTCTGCTTTTTCTGCTTCTTCTGCTTCTGCTTCTTTTGCTTTTTCTGCTTCTTCTGCTTCTGCTTTTACTGCTTCTGCTTCTGCTTCTTCTGTGGCTTCTTGTCTGCTTTTTCTGCCTCTTCTGCTTCTTCTGCTTCTGCTTCTTTTGCTTTTTCTGCTTCTTCTGCAGCTTCTGCTTCTTTTGCTTCTTCTGCTTCTGCTTTTACTGCTTCTGCTTCTTCTGTGGCTTGTTGTCTGCTTTTTCTGCCTCTTCTGCTTCTTCTGCTTCTGCTTCTTTTGCTTCTTCTGCTTCTGCTTCTTTTGCTTTTTCTGCTTCTTCTGCAGCTTCTGCTTCTGCTTTTTCTGCTTCTTTTGCTTCTGCTTCTGTTTTTACTGCTTCTGCTTCTTCTGTTTCTTCTGCAGCTTCTTGTCTGCTTTTTCTGCTTCTTTTGCTTCTTCTGCAGCTTCTGTTTCTGTTTCTTCTGCTTTTTTTTGCTTCTGCGGCTTCTTCCTCTCTCCTCTCCTCCTCTTCCTCCCCCCCTCCTCCTCTTTCTCCTCACCTTTAACAGAAGCCTTTCGTGTAAAAATAGAACTGGATTAAGCTTTCTCCATCCACATTTCCCATATCGTGGTGTAAGAAATTTCATCACCTTGAAGCAGAGAACTGTTGAAGGTGCACAGGGGGAAAGGAGGAAAGAAGTCTTACATTAGCACATCTGAATATTTCAAGTTTGGGGGACTTAGGGTTAAGGTTTGTGAACACCCTGATAGAGGTTAAGAGAGTTGTTTGCTTTATATAGTCTTTTTAATTTTGCTGCCTTTGCTTGTTGTATGTTAAATATATATCCTCCCATGGCTTTGGTTAAGCTGTTTGCTTGCTGTGGCAGACTAACAACACGCAGTGCGGATAGATGGAAGCTATGACTGTAGATTATGGAGCCATTGTAATTATCATCTGGCAACAGGAGAAATGCCAGCATTTGCAGAGTTAAACCAGCAATCTGCTGTAAGTGAGAATGTGTTCAGAATGGCAGTGGTCACGGAACATTTAAAACCTGCCCTTAGTCTTGACCTAAATCCATTTGTATAAATATTCAACTTGTAAACTGAAGGCAATAATGCTGTAAAATTCAGAGTCAAGGCAATAAATTGTGAAAGAGAGGGTTGTGCAAAAATCTGGTTTTCTGACTATTCCTTCCTTGTAAAATCTACTTGGGTCAGAAGAAAGCTCACTTATCCAGAAATGTAGTAATCCATTAGGTACTTCTTGACAGCTTTTTAACACTGCCAATCAAAAGGCCTGTAGGGGCATCAGCTTTCCAAGGGGAAAAAAAAAAGATTGCAGAAGGATCAGGAAAAACCAAGATAGCTACTGGTGTTGCAAGATAAAGATATTCACATAGACATAAATGCATACAATTCTGCTTGTAATTCTATGAACTTAGCAATAGCAATAGCCCTTAGACTTATATACTGCTTTATAGGGCTTTACAACCCTCTTAGCGGTTTATAGAATCAGCATATTGCTCCCAACAATCTGAGTCCTCATTTTACCCACCTCAGAAGGATGGAAGGCTGAGTCAACCTAGAGACTGGTGGGATTCAATCTGCCAAATTACAGGCAGCCAGCAATCAGCACAAGTAGCCTGCAGTACTGCACTCTAACCACTGCACTACCGAGGCTCTTAACTTCACAGAAGCTCCCTTATTTCCACAGAATCATGCCAAGAATTAAAATATTAGGCCTTTGGTTAGGCACTGTTCATTTGAACCATTGTGAAATTAGTTTCAAAAATGAGGGTGTGCATTAATTAGTTTATTTTGCATTGATCCAGCTAAAGACAAAAATACAATACAGACTGACTGAACAGCAAGTTTAGGTCTCTTTGTCCACCCCAGAGGTGGTATTCAACAGGTTCTGACCAGTTCTGGAGAACTGGTAGCGGAAATTTTGAGTAGTTAGGAGAACTGGGAAATACCAGCTCTGACTGGAGATTTCACAGTATCCTTCCCCTGCCACACCCACCAAGCCATACCCACAGAACCGGTAGTAAAAAAAATTTGAATCCCATCATTGGTCCACCCATAAATATTCTGATCTAGACATTTTTTGGTTTAGCTGATCAGCAAAGAGACAGTGAAAGGAGTTCTACTAGCAAGTTTTTAAATTAGAAAGCTGGATTAGTCGTAATGAAGAGGCCTACACCAGTGCATCTTTTTTCCCTCTTTATTTCTTTGCCTAGAAAATACAATAGTGTACAAAACAATCTCTGCTGTGACCTCATTGCACCAATTCATTTCCTGTCTTTTGCCATATTTCATTGGTTGCAAGAGACAAGCCTGATGAAATGAGCAGAACAATGCTGACACATCATTCACTTGAAACCGTGACATAACATGTTGATGATGTCATGTCATGCCATAATATCAAGATGTGGAGAGGACAAAGGGATCTTATTCTGCCCCAGACTAATATGAAAAACAACTGATGTCTTGCAAAGAACATGTATGAACTATCCAAAGCATTTTATGGCATTGCATCATGATTACTTTACTGAGAATTGTTACATACATACAGATGGAGTTGAATTCAAGTAATGTGAGTGCAGAACCAAGACATGGAATCTGGTCACTATTTAGGAAACAATGCCCATCATGTCTTGAATGGCAATTGAGGGCTGGAAGACTTGAAGATTCCAGTTTGCCACTTGCTAATCATTATTTGCACTTTGTGCAGCCATATTTGGAGAAAACTTCCCTCAGCTGAAATCTATGGCAAAACTCCAGTTAAGTCACCCATTAAGTCTAGACAACAAGATTGAGATCTCTTCTACAAATAAAGTATGAGCAGCCACTAATGAAAGCATTTACTTCTAACAAAGGCAGCACAAAGCGCAACAGTGAGTGGCATTGGGATTCTGCAAGCAGCAACAGCAGACACTCCACAGAGATTTGTGGGGGAGAGAGGCTGCCATAGTTATTAGAGTGGTTAGTGGAATGGAACAGGAAACATGAGGAGGTTATGACATCACCATCTCAACTTGACATGCATCATCTATCAGGGATGGCTTAAGGATAATGAAATAAATCATAGCCTGATGCAATGAGATGGACAAGATGACCCTACTGCTGCTTCCTTTCAGCAGTCTACAACTAGAAAAGAGTAGCTGCATCTATCAGACGTGTAGAAATCTAGTGAGCTACAGTTCATCAGTTCCGAGGGCACTGTTCTCACGGGTACACAGTTACTTAGTGCCTTGAGACAATAAGATTGCTATCAATCCTTTTTGACCTACTTTTCCAATTTTTACATTTTTTAAGTGTCTTTCAGACTTTCCTCCTCCCGCACATATTTTCTGGAGTGATTCTCTGCAGAGATATCTATGGCAAATACAGTATATACAATGGATTCAGACAGTAACTATCAGCAATAAGGAAAGTGGTTTCAGAATCTGTGCTTCTTATGATAAACACGAGTTTTCTCTCCTGCTACCAAATCCAACTAAACAGGTTTGGCAGGTTTTTTGAAACAGCACAAAAACTCACAAAACCTCCTTCACCCAGAAGGAAAGTGAGACACATTTTTTTTAAAAAAAGGGTGCTTATTTCCCAACTAGCTCCCACTTCCAAGGTTTGGGGTGGAAACTAGTCTGGATTCCAAGCAAAAGTGCTCTTATTTCTGTAATTTTATGTTGTTGGGGCTTATTTGAACTCAACTGCAATTTTTCTTCTAAAAGCAAAATAAAACTATACAATCAAACAAATATTACTGAATGGGAAAAATATCAAAATTAATTCTGTAAAAAAAGAAAACAATATACGCTCTCTGCTTGCATCTGAAAAAAAAAATTCCAAATCTAATGAAACTTGTCATTCACTATTGTTTTCTGCTGGTTCACTTATTAAAAAGAGACTTTATGATTTAATAAAACAGGTGAAGATACACAGCAGGGTGTAGTGGGAAATGAAAAATCTGCTGTGGTTATGTCAGACCTCCTTAAAGGGTTTGTTGGATGGCAATTTAATTTATTGTCTCTGATAGCACAATTTTAATACCTCTGCTTCATGTGGCGAATTTGTACTTTGCAGTGCCAAGTTCTCTATCTCAAGACAGAACATTATATTAACCCATATTTTTGGCAGAGGATGATCTAAGACAATTAAGGGGGAAGCAGCATCTTAAACCCATGTAATAGTGGGGGCTTCCTCACAAACAGCCATGAAGTTCATAATTTGGGGACAGGATACAGAAAACTCTTTGTTGAAGAATATTTCAAGCTGTTTTTCCTCAACAAGATACCCCACAGATATGTTGAGTGACAACCTGTTTTTTACTCTTAGAATAAATACATAGCCAATGGGGATTATGGGAGTTATCACGTGCACCTTTAAGGGTACCAGGTCCAGGAAAGTCATTAATCCAAGCAGGCTGCTTAAGCATATTTGATAAGCTACTTAAAAAGAGTGTAAAGCTGTAGAAAATTGGAAGCAAGAACTAGGATCTTTCAAGACAACCAAAATAATTGTTTTTCAGCTATCCCTTGAAACTAAATACAGTCTCCCTTGAATTGGGCTCAACACCTAGCGATGACATGGACTTGACAAAATTTCAGAAGTGAATTGCTATTGCCTTTTAATGAGATTTTTTTCAATTTCCCAGTTTAGCATGCTGTCCTGAAATTTCCTGGTGTCTTTCAAGTACTTATCAAGTCCAAATCTTATTTATTTTATTTGTTTCTCAAATATGTACTAGATAACAAGTATAGCTATGAACATAAACATGAACAAAGGAAGTAAATACAGATAAATGGGGACAGTAAGACGGGGATGGTACGCATGCTGATGCACTTATGCACGCCCCCTTTACGGACCTCTTAGGAAGGGGGTGAGGTCCACAGTAGACAGTTTGAGATTGAAGCTGTAAGAGTTTGAGGCTATAACAACGGAGTCGGGTAGAGCATTCCAGGCGTTGACCACTCTGTTGCTGAAGTCATATTTTCTGCAATCAAGTTTGAAGCGGTTTACCTTGAGTTTGTATCGGTTGTTTGCCTGTGTATTGTGGTTGAAGCTGAAGAAGTTGTTGACAGGCAAGATGTTGTAGCAAACAATTTGTTTACTATGCTTAGATTGGACCGCAGGCAGCACAGTTCCAGATTGTCCAAGCACAAAATTTCAAGCCTGGAAGCATAGGGAATTCTAATGTGAGTAGAGGAGTGGAGTACTCTTCTTGAGAAATACCTCTGAACCTGCTCAATCGTGTTAATGTCCGATATACAGTGTGGGTTCCAGGCGGACAAGCTGTATTCAAGAATTGGTCTGGCAAAGGTTTTGTATGCTCTAGTTAGCAATTCAATATTACTGGAGAAGAAGCTTTGCAAAATAAGGTTAACAACTCTTAATGCCTTTTTGGCAATGCTGTTACAGTGAGTTCTGGGGCTTAGATCGTTTGAGATGAGTACTCCTAGGTTCTTGACAGAGTGAGAGTCATCTACGAGATCATTTCTGCCCAACTTGTGTTTGGTGTTCTGATTTTTATTGCTTTATATATTCTGGAGTTCTCCATGCCATATTGCTACGGTACCTTCAGGGCTATCTCCTCTACTAAAATCAATCTGCTCAACCTGATCTGTAGATGCGCATCCTGACTCTGAGGCAAATTAAGAGATCTGAACCTGGAAATGGCCTTCGCCCTTACAGCTCCCTCATTCTGGAACAACTCAACCTCTGAATGTAAACATACCTCCATCTCTTTATCTTAGGCCAGGGCTGCCAAACTCCTGGCCCGCAGGCCGGATGTGTCACATGCTAGCCATGCCCATGCCCGGTTTAGTGAAGGGGAAAAAAGTCCAGATACATCACGTCATGCTGCCGTGACACTGTGAGTTTGAAACCCCTGCCTCTTAGGCAATAGGTGCAGGCCTTCCTTTCTGCAGGCTTTGGGGGAGTGAGAATCATTTTAATGTCACTTTAGTTGCCTGAGTTTTAAGAAAGACCACAGCATTTTTAAAAGATTTTTTTTAGTATTTTGGATTTATTTGTTTTTTAGTGCACTGTTGCAGAATTATTCAGGTAGGCAGCATGCAAATAATTACAATGAATACATGCATTTCTAGAAACAGGCTGTTCCATCCAGCAGCATCTAAGGGAGGAATGGAATGAAGGGGAAAGGCAGAATGATGAAACCAGTGCAAGGTTACTGTGGTACTATCCCCTCTCATTGTATAAAAAAGCCAACACAATCCTAGGCTGCATTAACAGGGTTAGAATCAAGATCACATGAAGTGTTGATATCACTTTATAATGCCTTGGTAAGACCACATTTGGAATATTGCATTCAGTTTTGGTCACCACAATATAAAAAAAGATGTTGAAACTCTAGAAAGAGTGCAGAGAAAAGCAACAAAGATGATTAGGGGACTGGAGGCTAAAACATAGGAAGAACAGTTGCTGGAATTGGGTATTTCTAGTCTAGTCAAAAGAAGGGCTAGGATAGCAGTGTTCCAATATCCGAGGGGCTGCTATAAAGAAGAGAGAGTCAACCTATTCTTCAAAGCACCAGAAGGCAGGACAAGAAGTAATGGGTGGAAATTAATCAAGGAGAGAACCAACCTAGAACTAAGGACAACTAAGGACAGTTATAACTATTAATCAGTGGAACAATTTGCCTCCAGAGGTTATGGATGCTCCAATACTGGAGAGTTTAAAAATAGGTTGGACAACTATTTATCTGAATGGTATAGTTGCCTATTTTAACAGACCTCCAAGGTCCCTTCCAACTCTGTTATTCTGTAATTCTGTATGTGCATTTGGGATATCACACACAAGTTCTTTAAGGGTGGAGCTTGTGATGCAACACACAGGGCTGCTTATGCAATTTTGATGAAAGCAGAAAAGCTTCCTTAGACACCCAGGCATTTCTTTTCAGCACCATGGCAGCTGCTCAACTCAGTGCCTGTTACATTAATTCTATGGGCTTTCTTCAGTTTTACAGATTTTTTTTTTGGCCATGATGGTTCCATTCTTTATCATTAAATAATACAATATAATCTACATCTAATCCATATGGAACATCTGAGATATTTACTGACCCACACAATATAACAGAGATATTTTATTAAGGAATTGTTAGTGGTAAAATTGTTTTTGCCCACATCCTTCAGGATCTTTTTGATTGAGCAAAGTTGTCACTCACTAGGAATTCAGTAGACTAAGGAGTGAAGTCTTGGCAAAAAGTTGCTGAAATATCTTGAGTTTGTTTGATGCTAATCTGGAAATGCTGAGATTTTCCTAATTCTGAACAAATTTTGGTCCCCCTCAACAACATATGTGGTAAAATGTTACCGCCATGTGTAGAAAAGTTTTAGCAGGCTTATTTTTTCCATAGCTAAGCCCATTGTTATCCTCCAAATTGTAATCTTATCATGTATACAAGCTGTTCCATATAAATAGCCCCATGTATATTTTCAGTAGTTTCAGCTGAAACCGGTTAAGAGCAGATGTGCCTATGGTTTCCTGGCAAGGCCTCTTCTAAAACGTATTTTTCCGTTAACAGCATTCCCCCATGCCATTCCAACCCTTTTCCTTTCTGTTCTGGGAAGGAGTGGGAGAGTAGAAAGGAGGGAAAGAGTTTCATTCATCGTTAGAATGATTCTTAAATGTTTTTGAAGCTGGTTTGATTTATGGCACTTGAGTTCTGACCTTTAAGAATTTTGAGTGCTGGGCAAAAGATACCCAGAAATTTGCTAGGGAGGTCTTTTCTCTACCTTTCCTTTTCATGTTGCAGTCTCAGTATTCAAGGCAGAAGGATATTTCATGCAAAGGAGATCATTGATTAGATTTGGAGCTTGAAGATTTGTTTCATTTTTTTGAAGCAGCATTGTTCTCCTTTTCTCCCCTCATTTACACCCTTCTGTTGGATCCAGCAAAGAAAAATGGCCACATTTCACATACTTTGATTAGCTGTAGTTTGTGTTTAATCTTATTTCACAAGCCAGAGCCATGCCTTGTTTGAACAATTCCTAGTTTTCCTTCCTTTTAAAACTGCTTTTTTTTGTTCTGCATTTTTGCAGATTGGCTAATGGATTATGAGACAAACCAATAAGACAGGAACAATAATTACACCACAAATACCCAAGTTTGCATTCCAAATCAAATCATGATTTCAAACTGGCTTGCTATCAAAACCAAACTAAAGTTTTTTTAATTACATTATCACAGTATGCTGTGCTGACAAAGACAAATTAATAGATTTTAGCACAGTACTGTACATGAATTTAGTCAATGTAGATATAAAGCTGGCAGTTTTTCTTCACTATAAATTAAGGAATTTAAGTTAGCTCTATAACATGGTTTATCAACCTAATCAACAAAACAGAACAAGAGTTTAAAATCCCTCTTTTCTCTAAAAAGAATGCTCTATCTGTGAAAGCTAACAATTCTGGCTTGATCTCCTATTCTTACAACCTATAACAGTTTGAGAGAGGGGGCATTTTATGTTAGAAGTGTGACTCCAGTGTGAAGCGGTATATAAGTCTAAGTGCTATTGCTGTCTCTGGCTCTTCTTTCTTTTCTACCTAGAAAGGCCTGGGCCCATGCACGCATATGCAGCCTTTTGCTTGCTACTATCCTCATGATAGGATTTACCTTACTGGGTGCTAGGCTTGGCTTTTTTCTATATGTACAATATATATAAATCTATGTATATATAAACAAAAGCTAGGAGTGGCGCAAAGAGCCATGGGAAGGTACATGCTCGGCATTATAAATCAAGAAAGAAAAACCTGCACATGGATTAGGGCAGGGGTCTCCAACCTTGGCAACTTTAAGACTTGTGGACTTCAACTCCCAGAGTTCCTCAAAGCTGGCTGGGGAACTCTGGGAGTTGAAGTCCACAAGTCTTAAAGTTGCCAAGGTTGGAGACCCCTGGATTAGGGAACGAACGAAAGTATATGATATCATCAAGAGAGTAAACGAATTGAAATGGATATAGCAAGAAGAACTGATGGCAGGTGGACCAAGGCAGTCATAGAATAGATCCCACTTGATAAAAAGCTTCCACGAAAGAGACCTAAAACAAGATGGATCAATGACATCAGCAAGCATTTGCAGGCCCAACTGGCAAAAGAAAGCTCCAGGCCATATTGGCTGGAAACACGCCGAAGAAGCTTTCATCCTGCCATGGATAGACAATGGCTAAAATGATATAAATCGACTTCATTAATTCTTAGGTAATTCCTATTTCCATGAACACTCTTTCTTCTCTCTCTCTCTCAAATGAACAGCAAAATAGCCGAGAATTTTACAAGTAGAATTCCATTTTTTATGAGGGCACCAGGCTGGGGAAAATGGTGATAAAGTTACCTGTGCAAAACAGATGTGATGTAGTTTGTTCTTGAGAGGCATACTTGATTGAACAATTAGGTTATTGAATTTAGTAAGCAAACTGGCTGTTAGTAAATTCTTAAAATATGAGTTTTTCTGCTAAATTACAGAGGTACAGATCAATAACATTTAGATTTATGAGTACTTTTTGTATCAGAACGTTTCTTTTCTTATTTCCAGATCTCCCAGATGACACACAGATCCATTTCCTTCTCTTGCATCATGCAGCCTCTAAAGTATATGCTTTCACCTACAACAAGCGACTCCCTTTTTTCACTGCTTGAGAACAGATGATATTTCAAAAGAGGTACTTCCCTATGTCTAAAAATATAATAAAATGTACAAAGATATATGAGTGCAGTAATGTGGGAAACATAGCAGAGGTGCTTTTCCTTGTTCAAAAAACACAGATGGTGTGTCAATCAGCAATGAACCTGGGTCTAATTGCTTCCAAAGAAATGGCTGATCCTATTACTAATGGTACAGTTTCAGTTGTGTTCTAATATAATAGAATGAGATCACACATTTTATGTGCTCTATGGGTCTTTGAATAGTTGGTACCATGAGATTTTGCTTCAACTCTGTGTTCATATTTTGGAAAATTATAAAATTACACTTCAACACACATACACACACACACACACACACACACACACAAAGATACTTGGCATGGATTAGTTCTTATTAGCACACCGTAACCTTAAAGCTACATTACTCTTTGGTACTTGTTTTTTTTTTTTTAATTATTGAAAAATATCAAGAATTGAATAATAGTAGCAATGTGGAAAAGTAAAATGCTGGTGACAGCAAGAAATGGAGCAGGGTAATGAAGTGTTCTATTTCCTCTTCACAAATTTGTTAAAGCAAATATGTTCTGGTTTAATAGAATATCACCCATTTGGTAAATTGAGACAACTGGAGGAGGGGTAAAACTGCTGCATTTTTGTTGTTTTACTGCTTTGCTTAAGATATACTATAATGTACCCTATTTAAAATAAAGTTATACACATTTAGGAATTAGATTTTGTTATGTTTGTGTTTCAAGACTGCTTCTTGTCAATTATAAAAGGTATGTTGCTTATATTTAAAGCCATTGGTTCGGCTTGGCAATATGCCCATTGTCCTTTGCCCTTGACTCTCAAGCTAAAGTATGAGGGTTTTTTCATCTAAACTGACAACTACAACTCTCTATTGGGGAAGCCAGAGTAGCAGTTTATGCTTTTGCCTCCTTTAGAGCCCCAAAGTCTCTGATAAGAGGTATCTGTTCTTTGCTCCAGACTTCAGTTTTGATAAGACAGAAGGCCTGTCAGAAGGACGGGAGCAGGGATGATGCTAATTGCCACTGCTGGGTGCTATCCTCCTCTCCTTGCATTGGCAGAAAACTCTCTTGACATAAAATTTACAGTTCAGCAGCCAATCCCTATCCTGCCTATACTGCTAATCCCAGTTACTGACTCACTTGACTCAGGACAAGGTCATGAGTAACAAACCTTAACAGATTTTGTACATCTTGAAACTGCTGTTAGATGATATCAGGATAAAGAGAAAAACATTAACACTGATACAACTAAGAACTCAAGCCTATCTCACAGTTTGAGAATGAGTTAAAAGCAACATCATAGGAATAAGGCAACTTCGCAAGAGGTCATCTACAACACAGTGTATTGTGTATGTATTGTGCCGTGATCTAAAACCTGACTGAAAATGGCCCACCTGTTTCCTCCAGGCCTTCTGGAGCTGCAACCCACCTTTTCAAAAACCTTCCCTGAAAAGAAGACTGGATGGAAACTGTCGGGTCCAACAATGACTTCCTGAAGAAGGATAATATATAACCACCTCCTTCAAGGCAGCAGAACCACTCTCTCCCCCAAGGGGACTAACACCACTGTATGGATCTAATCACCTCCCAATTGTCCTTCCCAAAGCTATGAGGGGAATACATTCCAATAAATAAATGGCTAAAAACAATGCTAACTATAATCCAGTATAAAATGCTGTTATACTGATGTTGTGTGTGTGTAGTCCCTTTGGGTTCATACAGTACATCTGTGGACATGGAGGTGGTTTTGCAGTCCCAGCCTGGAAGCACAGAGTTCTAATAGGACCGCTAGAAGTGCACTTCTGCAGTAATTGTGGGTGTTATTCTGTGATGCCAATCATGGTTTTCTGTCAAGTTTCTATAACATGCAGCTAGTTCAGAGCCTGGCTAGCCTTGCTGTTACTAGAGTCAGTGTTTTTGTCCAAAGAGAAAGATACATTTGAAAACACAGTGTAATTCATTTTTTTCCATTGAAAAATGTCTACCTGTAGAAAACATTGACTTCTATACTACTATCAATTCACACCATCAGTGATGGGTGTTTGATTTTTTTTTGTTTGTTTCAAAGGCCCTTTTCCTGAATATTTCCAAAATGAAAGAAAAAAAAAAAGATAATTCAGCCAGGGGCAGGAGCCAAAACATCACTGTAGAACCATCAGCAGCCAATATAGGCCCCTGTAGCGTATGACAGGAATGAACAATTTACAAATTTGTTTGGCTCTGTTGTGCTGGTTTTTAATTGGTTCCCTGAGAGGTCGCAACTACAGCCAGATGAAAAGTAGCCCATTTAGAATTAAAGCCCAGAAGTTTGCTCCCAGTCCCAAAAATAACACTTTCATACAAAAATATATTAGTTTTCTCTGTACCTCATTAGCGTTCTCATTTTGTTCATAGTATTCTGATACAATTTACAGTCCCGGCTGATCAACCAAGGATTTCCAATTTATCTTCTCATTTTTGATACAGAAGGCATATGTAAGATATACTTGGTCATGTGTGCTAGGGGAACAAAGTTTTGGCATGTACCTGTAGTTTGGGTGTTTTTACAGTTCAACTAGATCTCTTCCATAAAGTGGTATTTGCCTGTAGGTCAGTGTTTCTCAACCTTAGCCATTTTAAGATATGTAAACTTCAACTCCCACCTTGCTGGCTAGGGAATTCTGGGAGCTGAAGTCCACACACCTTAAAGCAGCTAAGGCTGATAAACACTGCTGCAGGTTTTAGTGAGACAAGAAGCCTAGGATCATATTCTAAGAGATTAATCACTCTGATCTTCTTTATGATAACATCCTTTCCCTCACCAAATCTTCAGCCTACACTTTTCTCAGATCTTGAAGTGTGAAGGGCTTTCAACGTTCAAATTCAAAGAACAAAAGAGAGAGGGGGAAATAATTAAGAGAGGAAAAACCTCAGGGTGGGGCATTTAAACTCTTATATGTTTTGTTGTTGTTGATTCTAGCATATATGATTTTTTTTTTAAAAAAGGTGGTTTCAACTTTACAAATACTGGTTCAAATTGATTTAATGTATCTGTTTAAGATATATGTATACTTTACATAAATTGTATTATTTGTATACAAATATACATTGTATATATTAATAATTGAAATAATTGAAATTAATGTATAATTAATCGATTTTAAAAATTTACTATTGTATCCAACAATAATTGAAAATATTTATAACTGAATAGAAATGGAAAATAAGTATTCTTTCATTTAACAATTGCACTTTAATTATAAAAATTCTTGGGTAGAGTTACACTGGAAGAAATATTACTTGAAAAAGATATGAACCTAGGATATAGGAACAAGAAGAGGCAGCACAGGACAATGTTTTCTCAAGTCAAAACTAGTCTGGGTTTGGGAAGCTAGCACATTGTAGATATCTTACTTTATAGTCCTTCAAATAAATGTTGATCTCTTTTGAACTACTGCTTAAACTCCAACTATGCTACTTTAATCATGTATTGCTAGAAAGTAGTTAATTCCAGCAACAACACAGTCACTGTAGTTTACAAACCATAGCTTATGGTTCGGCATACTGTACATACAATCAGGTGTATTTTATCTGAGATTTAGCAAAATCAGTGTAGTACTCACTGAGAGCTGACCCCCAATCAAAATGTACTGTATCAGACCAACAGATCACAGATATGTCAACACTAGTCAGTGCTCAGAGAGTTCAGTTATTATCCAGTGACTGAAATCAAAACAAAAACATCTACTTTTGTTGCAGTGGTTTTTGTTTGCCAAGGAGAATTCCCAGTCTGTTTAAAAGGATTCTCTGAACTGATATGATAGTACATGAAGAGTTATGACACCAAGGATATGGGGTTGTAGTGGAACCTTTATATGGAAGCTCCTCCAGATATAATCAATAAAACAATGGAAGAGAATAATTTTAATTCAGGGTTAAACTGCAGGGTCTTTAGTGCTCTCTGAATTTGGTTGTTTTCTTGCAGAAATTTCATTACCAACCTAGGTAACATCATCAGTACTAGTAGGGAATGGGGTTGCTCTCAATTTATATACTAGTTGCTTGCCCTGTCAGGTGGGAAGGCCTTCATGGTTCCTTGATTGGACTGTTGTTTGTTGTTAGCTTGCTTGTCAGAGTTGGTAGTTCCTTGACAAGGGTATTATTTGCTTTTTGATTGTTAGACTAATGTTAATCTTTGTGTTAATCTCTGTTCATCTGGGTGTTGATTGCTGGTGGGGAGATGTTTTGGTCTCTTTGTTTCTTTTTGGCTTTTTGATTGTCTCTTTTAAATGGTATGTAGACGTTGTTTACATCTATGTGCCTATTGGTGGCCTATTTATGAAAGAGCCAAATGTTTAGGAATTCTATAGCATTTTTGGATTAGCTTGGGATGCTCACAGTTTCCCAGTTGAACCTATAGTTAGATCTGTCTATATGTTGTGAAATTAAGGAGTTCTCATGATGTCTTCTGACTGCTAGTTGGTGTTCATGGTCTCCTTATTTCTTTCAGACTTGCTTAAATCTATGTGTCTGTGTCAAATTGCTGCATTACTCAATTTATCAGATAAATCAGCATTCAAATATAGTGATTAAAGTGATGTAAGCTAGAGAAGCAAATTCCTATAAAAGCTTTAAAATGATCCATGTCAACTTAAATGAGGAATTCTTTTAAACCAGTACAATATAATATGTGTTTTATCTAAAATCAAAGGAAGCAAACATTTTTGTAAAACAGTTGCTTTTCCTTCTAATTAATTTGTTACATTTAGTTGATTTTTCAGCTGGCCAAAATGATTGAAAATGGAAAATAATTGTCATTATTTGTCATGTGTGTTTGATGGCCAAAGAGGAACCTGCAGATTGAGAAAAGGGAACTAGTTCTTATCTTGTGGAACTTACAATTCAGGCATGATATTCGCAGCTTTGGATTTATTCAGGGAACTAACAAAGTGAGATTATATTATTCATTTACAAAATAACACTTTCAAAAGGTAGAAGAAGCATTTTTTTGCCTTTTGGTTCTAGAGCCAAGGCTTTTTTGATTCTGAAAACTGAGTAGCTATGATGATAGGCTTGACTGGTTCCCTTTAAAAAAATACAGTGTTCCAGGAGACAGGTGGAAAGAAAATTAACAGAGTACTGTCTCTAAAGCTTGTTAAGAAAAAAATGGATCACCTGTTTTGAGAAAGAGAAAGGAATGAGAAAAATTTGTATGGTACAGAATTCATAATATAAATGCTACTGTGTATGTGTGTGCAAGTACATATGCACACACACACACACAAACATGCTTCCATACAATAAATATTGTCATATTTGATTTTGAAAAATTCAAGACTTGTTTTTATGTGAAGGATTTTCAGTGACTAATAATTTGAGTTTTTAGTCCTAACCTCAATCATTCATAAGGACATACAGGACATGTTTCCTCCTGCCATGATCAATGCTATATTCTTATTATTTAAAGTAACATTATATAAGAACCCCAGTATATAGGTTATCTTACGAACAGTCAAGGGTTTACTACTTGATTCCCTGGGTCTCAGAACTTAAAAAGCAAAATACACATTCCTCCTTCTTGTTGGCATTGTATTTCACAATTTTTATTTTGAAAGATCTAAAGTTACATTACTGACAGAAAACAAACTGGTAAATATGAATACAGAGAGGCAAGATTTACTTTAATTTGGTCCAGAAGGAGACATACCAACCTGAGTAGTGGTTCCAGAAAACAAAAATAACTCTTTGTGAACTGTCATAGAAAATGTTTGGCATCCACTGCAAGCCATAGTATAACTGCCCAATACTCTAGGAACACAACACCAGGAAGCTGTTTCTCTATATGAGTAATGAACTGCTAAGTGAAGAGCAGGGAATAATTACTTTGTCAATGTATGCGTAAGCATATGGATATGTATGTTACACAGATACATATGCATAAACATATGCGTGAGTATGTGTCTATCTGTGAGCTGTGGCCAGAACTATCCTGTTCTACATGTGGAGATGCAGCTGTGATATGCTTGGCATGACTCCCCATTGGGTGTGTGCCTGCAGAAATGGATTCAAACTCCTTTTACACTTCCAGAATTCAACCTACTCAGTTCCTGCTCATAAATCAGGAAAGGGCTGTGCTGTATGAGTTGCCAGTGGTACAAAAGAACCACTCTGACAGTTGTAGAATACAGATGGCTGTGCCAAAAGCCTCTTTACTCACACCATGTCTGGACTGTTACTTAACACACTTCTAGCTGACACAGGGTTGGCTCACATCACTCACACTGCATTTACAGCACAGTTTTATCTGATTGTCATCTTCTGTTCCTGCAGTAGTTATACAATAGTGCTACTGTATTACAGGTGCATCCTGCATCACATATGCTGAATTGTTCTGAAACAGCTGATCTGTCCCTATGGGCAGGACATGGTTTCAACATTTATTAAGATGCAGATTAAAATTAAAAAGTACCAAATTGTATACTTTCCAGTAGCAAGTGGGAAAGGCCAATGCTAAGTGGTAAAGACTACATTTTGTATATCCCGAATCTTTAGGATTTTAATTATTGTTATTTATGTATATGTTAACATTTCGCCTGTAGCTGGTGGCAGAGCATCTAGTAAACCATGGTTATTCTCAAAAAAACCAAACTCAGTCAAATCATTTGGATGTGAAATCATCAAATGATTGACCATTTTCCACATTGTTGCCAAAATGTTACATGAATGATTCCAATAGGCCACCATGATACATGCACAACTTGAAGAAAATGTTACTTTTTCTGCCTCTTGCAAACCTTTTGCTTTGGCTAAATAGAAGCTGAATGAATTAACTAATAAATTAAACTATTGCATTGACTAATAACAGTTTGGATTTACTCTAACAAATAAAAAATAGGAGTATTGCAAGATCTGTAAAAATACATTTACTTAAGAACAAAATAATTATTTAAGTTCATATTGTTCCAAACTAATTTCAAAATATTTGTGTCAAGAGCATTACTCCTTAGTAAAATTCTGTTTCAGACACTCTTGCTGTGTA